GAGGAACCTGCGAATGGTGCTCTCCTGCTTGAAGTCCAACTTGTCGTTCGCATGAAATCCTGGTCTTCACGGGTTAAGCCGTCAGCTAGCCCCAATGTTTATGTCGAGCTTCCGTTCTTGAGTAAGGACCAGGAGGGGCACACCATCGTCTCAGGGGGACCATACCATAATACCTATGCAGTCCGCTTAAGATTTCACTTTTTGGGGCCCTGTGTAGTTCTCTTTGTACTTTATTATTTAGCCGGCTTCTTGAATACTTATTTAAGATTTATGAGTATCTTCGAGTACACCTTCGAATGCATTGAATAAGTAATGAAATTGTAAATATTCAAGGCTTACTACTTTGGTGGACGTGCAGCTATTCAATTAGGCAACTACAATGAGGCTATACGACTCATCACAAAGGCTAAGGAATTGGCTAGCAGTCAAAAGGTAAGCCTGTTTGAAGACTTAAAGCTCTTCCATTTTGTAACCCTTGCACTGTTTGAGTGTTTCTAGTTATCCCACAGTATTTCGACCCCTTCATCTGTTTTCAAAGGCTCGGACATCCCTAAGGAGGTAGGCGCTGAAGGGGAGAGGAGCATTTAATGCTATGGACAAAATTCACTAGAAATGGAGCCTGCGAGTGCCATTCGTGACTGGGAGAGTTTCAAGTAAGAATATGAGGGTAGTGGGTAATTCAGTAGTGAAGAAAGGATCAAGGAAGGACGTCGAAAACGCTCAGAATAACAGCGCTATTATCCTTACATGGACATACGGTGAAGAGATACAGCGTTAAAAAAAGAGTAACTGACGATGATGTTGGAGAGGGTATCAGACTGCCGAGACTCTCGCGAAGTCAAAGCAAAACTATGAAGGTGCAGCACGGTCGTGAGGGAGGAGATTGCTCAACAAGACGGGGCTTCTTATTGAGCACTTTCAAGTCGCAGGAGTGGGACATTATCCGCGATTGCGAAGGCGCCACCTACAAGGAAGTGCTTCCGCTTCTCAGGTAATCGCAGACTCCGAGTTTGAGCGTTAAGCTACACTCCATATCCCGGAGAAGAGTTGGTCGTGACTAAATACTTCATTTGAATGTGGTGGTAACTACGCTTTTGGTGAGATATTGCCGTTTACACAGCTGTAATCATGTCTTTGTCCAGCGCAAGACCAGATGCAATTTGCAAAGAGCGAATTATCTCATTAACGCTCTTGTCCGCACATGTTCAGAAGAAGTGCGGCCACGCTTCCGTCCATCCCCGGGATACAGTGCGGTATGTGTAGTGTCTTCGATGGAAAAGTTGACCGGATAAAGTTATTAATAACCACTTTGTCAGAAACGCAGTATAGCACTGCACAAGTATTATCAAGCAGTCAGTCTTATTTTTGTTGCCATCTGATTATCAGTGATAAGCTTGCTCCTTATGTTTAGGGGTTTCGATGGAGTTGTGTATATAGATGAACTTTTGGCGATGAAATCCATGCTCAAATGCGTCTCGCGCGAAGAGAAAAATTCCGAATGGAGGAGGAGAAACGCGTTAAGGAGGAGGGCGAACTTCAAATATACTTGAGGAAGTGGGTGTTCAATTGATATGTTGCTTTTTGTTACTTACATGATTTGCTTTGCTTCTCAATTCTCAGCGCGAGTCATGGTCGAATAGTCTGAGATTTCTAAGCATTTCAGATTGATTGAAGAAGATGTGAGCCGACGGATAGCTGAGGTAGTGTCAGCTGGATCTACTGCCGAGTCTGGGACGGAAGGAGAAGGCACCCACGACGAAGGAGGTGACAGATAAAGTGGACGCAGATCACACAAGAAAGACGCGCAACAGCATAAAGCACAGCACTCGACTCGCTTATTTGCCCACAGGTATGAAAAGGCATTGGAGGCTAACGCTAGCTGAGAGAAGGGTTACACTCAGCCTCGCCGTCTCTGTAATCCTTCCTTGAGAAAGGCCTCATTACTTACTTTAGAGCGCAGGCGACCAGAGTTCGCCGAAAAATAGTCTGACAGCGAGGACGATCTCCACTAGCCATAGGCAGAAGCTTGATGAGAGGAAGGGATGCAGAGGAGCTACCGATTGGTGCCCGTCCCACCGTTGTCACAGTGAATTCATGGTCTGGAACCAGTTTACCTCTTTAATTCCGGAAAGTAGTGATCGATATGTCACCTGTGAACACTATGAACGTGGTCTGACGCCTGATCTGAGTTCTATTATGTTTGTGAGAGCTTTTCGCTGTTCAGATCGACGACCGACGTCGCAAGCGAGAAATTCCAGACTTTCTATGCGGGAAGATCTCTTGCTCATTGCTACAGGATCCAGTGATCACTCCATCTGGTATCACTTACGATCGCGCCGATATTAAACAGCATCTTCACCGAGTTGGTGAGTTGTCACGATGTTCGGTTATTTTGAGCTGTCTTCTTAGTCCTATTTATGACATTCGAAGTGACGCAAGCGCCACTATAGTGGAGGGGCTGCGAGGCGGCGTGACCAATGGTAATTGCGCCTTTTAGCGCCGTTCCACTGGCATCTAAATCTTCCCATCCTCTGGCTCAGCTTTAGAAAAATGGAGGACGAGAGTACGTATAGTCTCTTGGCGGAAAAAAACGACCTCCCTCCTCAACAACTGCATTAGCGCTTAGGCCACGTTCATACTTTACGACTGAGCCGATTCGGCGATTTGAGAGACGAGGGAAGTCTAGCTGGCGACCACGGAGATTGAACGATCCGGCCAATTCGGGAGACTTGGCGATGTGGCGTTTTGGGAGAAAACCTGATCCCAATCTCCGCGTTCGCCTACGATCGGCACCGATCGATACCCATTCACTCTTTTGGCGCGCAATCGATCTTTTTCCACCACCTCGTGATCAAAATAGTTGTCGAAATTGCTCAAAATACCGTTTTTGACCTATGCGCTACAGATTGTTTTCAACATAAACATAGTTATTCATAACATTGACGCTGCTCTCATCAGGTCATTTTGATCCTGTCACACGTGCTCCGCTCACTGAGGCTGACCTCATTCCGAACCTTGCCATGAAGGAAGTACTGGAACATTTTCTCATCGAAAATCCATGGGCTAAATATGAAGATTTGTTAAGTTAAGAGCAGAATGCAGGTTCTAAGAGGTAATTTATTCCCTTGTGATTGTCATATCGTACAACAAAGCAGATTTTCTAATGAATTGTACGTTGTTTTATGGTCGGAATTGGTGCACATATGCTGCTAATTAATCTGAAGGAATTTGATGTTGTATTAAAGTTTTATTTATGTATTGTACAAATGTAAAGCCTTTTTGTTCTTTGGAGATTTCTTTATTATATCAATCAACGCCATCATACTTATGCATTCCTTCGCCTACTTTCGAAAAAGCGAGTAGTCTTCCTTGTCACTAATAATTTAATCAACAAGGCTCTAATGGATATTGTTTATTGAGCTCTTGTTATCATAATTTCGTCTACTTGAATTTTACTCCAGAAGTTAAATGAACATTTTGATTCAATAGTTGTGCTTTGTCGGAGCTGTTTCATCCAGCCGTAATCTTTTCGAACGATCTTCACAGTCGGAGGTAGGGAATTCGTTTCGCTC